GGTGGAGAGAGATGCACAGAGATGGAGAAAGAGGCAGAATGAGAGACATATAGAGAAGAATAAAGAAAGTGTGATGGAGAGAGAGAGAGAGAGAGATAAAAAGAGAGAAAGAGAGGGCGCTATACAATGTGAGGTGGAGAAAGAGGCACAAGGATAGTCACAGAGATAGAAAGAGGTGGATAGTGATACACAAAGAGAGAGGGAAAGAGGCAGAATGGGAGAAATAAAGAGAAGAATAATTGAAAGAAAGCAAGATGGAGAGAGAGATACAAAGACAGAGTTATACAAAGAGAGACAGAGAGAGAGGCAGAAGAAGAGGCATAGAGATAGAGAGATGTGGAGAGAGATGCGCAAAGAGAGATGGAGAGAAAGGCAGAGTGAGAAACATAAAGAGAAGAATAAATGAAATAAAGCAAGATGGAGGGAGATACAAAGAGAGAGAGGGAGATGTACAAAGAGAGACAGAGATAGAGAGAGGTGGAGAAAGATGCACAGAGATGGAGAAAGTGGCAGAATGAGAGACATATAGAGAAGAATGCACAAGGAAAGGCACAGAGATAGAGAGAGACAGAGAGAGATGCACAAAGAGAGATTGAGAGAGAGACAGAATGAAAGTTAGAGAAGAGAGGCAAAATGAAACACTCTCCGAGAGAAAACTTGAATGAGATGAGTTGAAAAAAAGAATTGTAGAAATATTATCAGTCCTGATCTGGCGGCCCTGCTCCAGTCACTTTCACACTACCATTAGGCTGCCTCCCCATGTCTTTTCGATAAACGCTTTCATGGTAATTATTTGGATGAGCTCTTCACTCTGGTATCTAGACTTTTTGAATTTAAGTGCAGTACTAGATTGGCGTCAGGATCTCATCAATTTACAGTTGAGCTGGCTAGACGTAGCCATAACTCCTATGCTAATAGTTTCTTTTCTCGCACTTCTCGCTTGTGGATCTTGCTTCCGGTTCCATGCTTTCCAGCCAACTTTAATCTGCAAAAAATTTAAGTGCAATGTCAGTCACTATCTGCTGTCCTCCTGATTATTCTTCTGTTGTTCTTGCTCATTACTAATGATTCTGTTTCTAATTCTTCCACACCTAGTAACTCTTTATACCATAGTCACTTTACTGCCTTGCAAGAAAAAAAAATGAGAAAATAGATGAAAGAAAAAGAGACAAAGACAGACACAGAGAGAGTGAGAAAGAGAGATGGACAGAAAGACACAAAGAGAGAAAGATGGGGGGAGATATGCGACTAGAGATGCGGAGAGAGGACGAGAGAGAAGCTATCTGAGGGAGATGTTGAATGTGAGGAGCTGAAAATGAATAAAGAAGAAGAAAAGGAAAGAATAAATCAAAGAAAGAGAGGTGGAGAGAAACGCTCAAAGAAAGAGGAAGAGAAAGATTCAAAGAAATTGAAAGAAAGAAAAAGAGAGAGAGAGAGAGAGATACACAAAGAGAGATGGGGAGAGAAGCAGAAATGGAAAGAGAAAGAGACATAGAGAGGGATACACAAAGGGGGATAGAGAGAGAGACAGAATGAGAGACATAAAGAGAGAGATACACAAAGAGAGACACTATCTGGAGAGGAGCTTGAATGAGATACGTTGAAGTAAAGAATGGTAGAAAAAATAAGGAAGAAAATAAGTAAAGAATAAATGAAAAAGCAAGAGAGAGAGAGAGAGAGAGAGAGAGAAAGAGGGAGACACACACAAAGGGAGAGAAAAAGTGACACAAAGAGAGAAAAATACAAAGCAAAATAAAGAGAGGTGGGGAGAGAGAGAGACACAAGGAGAGACAAAGGAAGTGAGAGATAAAAATACAGAGAGAGAGAAGCAGAGAGACACTCTCTGAGAGAGACTTTAAATGACATGAGTTGAAAAGAAGAATGCTAGAAAAACTAAGGAAAATTAGATGAAAGAGAAAGAAAGAGATATACATGGAGATGAAGAGAGAAGGAGAGACAAATAGAGACAAAAAGGGACAGAGAGATACATACACACAGAAAATGAGAAAGAGAGAGACACACAAAGAGAAACAAAGAGAGAGAGAGAGACGGAGAGTGCATCACAAAGAGAGGAAAGACAGACAGATAGAAACATGTAAAGTGAGAGAAAAGACATGGCTAGAGAGACAGATAGAGACATGCAAAGTGAGAGAAAAGACATGGCTAGAGAGACAGATAGAGACATGCAAAGAGAGAGAAAAGACATGGCTAGAGAGACAGATAGAGACATGCAAAGAGAGAGAAAAGACATGGCTAGAGAGACAGATAAAGACATGCAAAGAGAGAGAAACGACATGGCTAGAGAGACAGATAGAGACATGAAAAGAGAGAGAAAAGACATGGCTAGAGAGACAGATAGAGACATGCAAAGAGAGAGAAAAGACATGTCTAGAGAGACAGATAGAGACATGCAAAGTGAGAGAAAAGACATGGCTAGAGAGACAGATAGAGACATGCAAAGTGAGAGAAAAGACATGGCTAGAGAGACAGATAGAGACATGAAAAGTGAGAGAAAAGACATGGCTAGAGAGACAGATAGAGACATGCAAAGAGAGAGAAAAGACATGGCTAGAGAGACAGATAGAGACATGCAGAGAGAGAGAGAGAGAGAGAAAAGACATGGCTAGAGAGACAGATAGAGACATGCAAAGAGAGAAAAGACATGGCTAGAGAGACAGATAGAGACATGCAAAGAGAGAAAAAAGACATGGCTAGAGAGACAGATAGAGACATGCAAAGAGAGAGAAAAGACAAGAGACATGCAAAGAGAGAGAGACAGATAGAGACATGACATGCAAAGAGAGAGAAAAGACATGGCTAGAGACAGATAGAGACATGCAAAGGGAGAGAAAAAGACATGTATAGAGAGACAGATAGAGACATGCAAAGAGAGAGAAAAGACATGGCTATAGAGAGACAGATAGAGAGAGAAAAAGCAAAGACAGAGAAAGAAATGGCATAGAGAGACAGATAGAGACATGCAAAGAGAGAGAAAAGACATGGCTAGAGAGACAGATAGAGACATGTAAAGAGAGAGAAACGACATGGCTAGAGAGACAGATAGAGACATGCAAAGAGAGAGAAAAGACATGGCTAGAGAGACAGATAGAGACATGCAAGAGAGAAAAGACATGGCTAGAGAGACAGATAGAGACATGCAAAAGAGAGAAAAGACATGGCTAGAGAGACAGATAGAAACATGCAAAGTGAGAGAAAAGACATGCCTAGAGAGACAGATAGAGACATGCAAAGAGAGAGAAAGACATAGAGAGACAGATAGAGACATGCAAAGAGAGAGAAAAGACATGGCTAGAGAGACAGATAGAGACATGCAAAAGAGAGAGAAAAGACATGGCTAGAGAGACAGATAGAGACATGAAAAGAGAGAAAAAAGACATGGCTAGAGAGACAGATAGAGACATGCAAAGTGAGAGAAAAGACATGATAGAGAGAGACAGATAGAGACATGCAAAGAGAGAGAAAAGACATGGCTAGAGAGACAGATAGAGACATGCAAAGAGAGAAAAAGACATGGCTAGAGAGACAGATAGAGACATGCAAAAGAGAGAGAAAAGACATGGCTAGAGAGACAGATAGAGACATGCAAAGAAAGTGAGAGAAAAGACATGGCTAGAGAGACAGATACAGACATGCAAAAGAGAGAAAAGACATGGCTAGAGAGACAGATAGAGACATGCAAAGAGAGAAAAAGACATGGCTAGAGAGACAGATAGAGACATGCAAAGAGAGAGAGAAAAGACATGGCTAGAGAGACAGGTAGAGACATGCAAAGAGAGAAAAAGACATGGTATAGTGAGATAGATAGAGACATGCAAAGAGAGAGAAAAGACATGGCTAGAGAGAGAGATAGAGACATGCAAAGAGAGAGAAAAGACATGGCTAGAGAGACAGATAGAGACATGCAAAGTGAGAGAAAAGACATGGCTAGAGAGACAGATAGAGACATGCAAAGAGAGAGAAAAGACATGGCTAGAGAGACAGATAGAGACATGCAAAGAGAGAGAAAAGACACACAAAGAGAGAGAGACAGCTAGAGAGACAGATGCAAAGAGAGAAAAGACACATAGAGAGACAGATAGAGACATGCAAAAGAGAAAAGACATGGCTAGAGACAGATAGAGACATGCAAAGAGAGAAAAAGACATGGCTAGCGAGACAGATAGAGACATGCAAAGGAGAGAGAAAGACATGGCTGAGAGACAGATAGAGACATGCAAAGAGAGAGAAAAGACATGGTTAGAGAGACAGATAGAGACATGCAGAGAGAGAGAGAAAAGACATGGTTTGAGAGACAGATAGAGACATGCAAAGAGAGAAAAGACATGCTAGAGAGACAGATAGAGACATGCAAAGAGAGAGAAAAGACATACAGAGAGAGACAGATAGAGACATGCAAAGAGAGAAAAGACATGGCTAGAGAGACAGATAGAGACATGCAAAGAGAGAAAGACATGGCTAGAGAGACAGATAGAGACATGCTAGAGAGAGAGAGAGAGAGAAACATGGCTAGAGAGACAGATAGAGACATGCAAAAAGAGAGAAAAGACATGGAGAGGAGACAGATAGAGACATGCAGAGAGAGAGAGAGAGAGAAAAGACATGGCTAGAGAGAAGATAGAGACATGCAAAAGAGAGAAAAAGACATGGCTAGAGAGAGATAGAGACATGCAAAAGAGAGAGAAAAGACATGGCTAGAGAGACAGATAGAGACAGAAAAAAGAGAGAAAAGACAAAAGAGAGAGACAGATAGAGACATGTAAAAGAGAGAAAAGACATGGCTAGAGAGACAGATAGAGAGACATGCAAAAGAGAGAAAAGACATGGCTAGAGAGACAGATAGAGACATGCAAAGAGAGAGAAAAGACATGGCAGAGAGACAGAGAGAGACAGAGAGAGAGACATGCTAGAGAGAAGAGAGAGAAAAGACAAGACATGGCTAGAGAGACAGATAGAGACATGCAAAGAGAGAAAAGACATGGCTAGAGAGAGAGAGATAGAGACATGTAAAGAGAGAAAAAAGAAAAGAGAGAGATAGAGAGACAGATAGACATGCAAAGAGAGAGAAAAGACATGGAGAGAGAGAGAGATAGAGACATGCAAAGAGAGAGAAAAGACATGGCTAGAGAGACAGATAGAGACATGCAAAGAGAGAAAAAGACATGGCTAGAGAGACAGATAGAGACATGCAAAGAGAGAGAAAAGACATGGCTAGAGAGACAGATAGAGATAGAGAGAGAAAGAGAGAAAAGACATGGCTAGAGAGACAGAGATAGAGACATGCAAAGGGGAGAGAAAGACATGGCTAGAGAGACAGATAGAGACATGCAAAGAGAGAAAAAGACATGGCTAGAGAGAGACAGATAGAGACATGCAAAGAGAGAGAAAAGACATGGCTAGAGAGACAGATAGAGACATGCAAAGAGAAAGAGAGAGAAAAGACATGGAGAGAGAGAGAGAGAAGAGACATGTAGAGAGAGAGAGAGAGAAAAGAGGGTAAGCTAGAGAGACAGATAGAGACATGCAAAAGAGAGAGAAAAGACATGCTAGAGAGAGAGATAGAGACATGCAAAGAGAGAAAAGACATGGCTAGAGAGACAGATAAAGACATGCAAAGAGAGAGAAAAGACATGGCTAGAGAGACAGATAGAGACATGCAAAGAGAGAGAAAAGACATGGCTAGAGAGAGAGATAGAGAGATGCAAAGAGAGAGAGATAGAGAGAGAGAAAAGACATGGAGAGAAAAGACAAAGTAGAGAGAGAGATAGAGACATGCAAAGAGAGAAAAAAGACATGGCTAGAGAGACAGATAGAGAGCAAAGAGAGAGAAAAGACATGGCTAGAGAGACAGATAGAGACATGCAAAGAGAGAAAAGACATGGCTAGAGAGAGAGATAGAGACATGCAAAGAGAGAGAAAAGACATGGCTAGAGAGACAGATAGAGAAGCAAAAGAGAGAAAAGACATGGCTAGAGAGACAGATAGAGACATGCAAAGAGAGAAAAAGACATGGCTAGAGAGACAGATAGAGACATGCAAAGAGAGAGAAAAGACATGTATAGAGAGACAGATAGAGACATGCAAAGAGAGAAAAAGACATGGCTAGAGAGACAGATAGAGACATGTAAAAGAGAGAGAAAAGACAAGTAGAGAGACAGATAGAGACATGCAAAGAGAGAGAAAAGACATGGCTAGAGAGACAGATAGAGACATGCAAAGAGAGAGAAAGAAAAGGCTAGAGAGACAGATAGAGACATGCAAAGAGAGAGAAAAGACATGCAGAGAGAGAGATAGAGACATGCAAAGAGAGAGAAAAGACATGGCTAAAGAGAGAAAGAGAAAGAGACATGCAAAGAGAGAGAAAAGAGAGAGAGACAGATAGAGAGATGCAAAAGAGAGAAAGACATGGCTAGGAGAGAGAGATAGAGACATGCAAAGAGAGAGAAAAGACATGGCTAGAGAGACAGATAGAGACATGCAAAAGAGAGAAAAGACATGGCTAGAGAGACAGATAGAGACATGCAAAGAGAGAAAAAGACATGCAAAGAGAGAGAGATAGAGACATGCAAAGAGAGAAAAGACAACAAAAGAGAGACAGATAGAGACATGCAAAAAGAGAGAAAAAGACAAGGAGAGAGAGACAGATAGAGACATGAAAGAGAGAAAAGACATGGCTAGAGAGACAGATAGAGACATGCAAAGAGAGAGAAAGAGAGGCTAGAAAGAGACAGATAGAGACATGCAAAAAGAGAGAAAAGAAAAGGAAAAGAGAGACAGATAGAGAAATGCAAAGAGAGAGAAAAGACATGGAGAGAAGAGAGAGAAAGAGAAAAAGAGAGAGAGAAAAGACAAAAAGAGAGAGAGAGAGAGAGACATGCAAAGAGAGAGAAAAGACATGGTAAGAGAGACAGAAAGAGACATGCAAAGAGAGAGAAAAGAAAAGACAGAGAGAGAAAGAGAGAAGCAAAGAGAGAAGAAAAAGAGAGAGAAAAGACAGCTAGAAAGACAGATAGAGAGTAAAAGAGAGAAAAGACAAAAGAGAGACAGATAGAGACATGCAAAGAGAGAGAAAAGACAAGCAAGAGAGACAGAAAAGACAGAAAGAGAGAGAAAAGACATGGTTAGAGAGAGATAGAGACATGCAAAGAGAGAGAAAAGACATGGCAAGAGAGACAAAGAGAGAGACATGCAAAGAGAGAGACAAAAGAGAGAGAAAAGAGAGACAGATAAAGAGACATGAGAAAAGAGAGAAAAGACAAAGAGAGACAGAGAGAATGCAAAGAGAGAGAAAAGACAAAAGAGACAGATAGAGACATGCAAAAGAGAGAAAAAGAAAAGCTAGGGAGAGACAGAAAGAGACATGCAAAGAGAGAAAAAGACAAACAAAAAGAGAGAAAGAGAGGAAGAGAGAGAGAGAGAGAGAGACAACAAAAGCAAAAGAGAAGAAAGAGACATGCAAAAGAGAGAAAAGAATGACAAAAGAGAGAGAGAAAGAGAGAGAGAAAAGAGAGAGAAAAGACAAAAGAGAGAGATAGAGACATGCAAAAGAGAGAAAAGACATGCAAAGAGAGAGACAGATAGGAGAGACATGCAAAGAGAGAGAAAAGATGGCAAAAGAGACAGATAGAGACAAGCAAAAGAGAGAAAAGACAATCAGAGAGACAGATAGAGACATGCAAAAGAGAGAGAAAGAGATGGCAAGAGAGATAGAGATAGAGAGAAAAAAGAGAGAAAAGACAAAAGAGAGAGACAGATAGAGACAAGTAAAAGAGAGAAAAGACATGCAAAGAGAGACAGATAGAGACATGCAAAGAGAGAAAAGACATGGCTAGAGAGAGAGATAGAGACATGGTAAAAGAGAGAGAAAAGACATGGCTAGAGAAAGAGACAGATGAAAGAGACATGGGAAAAGAGAGAGAGAGAGAAAAGAGAAAAGACATGGCTAGAGAGACAGATAGAGACATGCAAAGAGAGAAAAAGACAAGAATGGATAAAGAGAAAGAGAAAAGAAAAGAGAGAGAGAGAGAGAAAGAGAGAAAGATGGCTAGAGAGACAGATAGAGAAATGCAAAAAAGAAAGAAAAGACAAGGTCAAAAGAGAGAAAGAGAGAGACAAAAGCAAAGAGAGAAAAGACATGGCTAGAGAGACAGATAGAGACAAAAGAAAAGAGAGAAAAGACAAGACAAAAGAGAGACAGATAGAGACATGCAAAAGAGAGAAAAGACATGGCAAAGAGAGACAGATAGAGAAAAAAAAAGAGAGAAAAGACATGGTAGAGAAAAGACAGATAGAGACATGCAAAAGAGAAAGAAAAGATGAAGACAAAAAGAAAAAAATAGAGAGAGAGAGAGAGAGAAAAGAAAAGCAAAGAGAGAGAGATGTAAAGAGAGAGAAAAGACAAAGAAAAGAGAGACATGAGAGAGAAAGACATGCAAAGAGAGAGAAAAGAAAAGGATTAGAGAGACAGAAAGACAGAAAAGAGAGAGAAAAGACAAAGAGAGAAAGATAGAGACATGCAAAGAAAGAGAGAAAAGACATGGCTAGAGAGACAGATAGAGACATGCAAAGAGAGAAAAAAGACATGGAAAAGAGAGAGAGAGACATGCAAAGGAGAGAAAAGACATGGCTGCAAAGAGAGAAAGATAGACAACATGCAAAGAGAGAGAAAAGACATGGCAAAAGAGATGAATAGAGACATGCAAAAGAGAGAGAAAAGACATGCAAGAGAGACAGATAGAGACATGCAAAAGAGAGAAAAGAAATGGGAGAGAGAAAGATAGAGACATGCAAAAGAGAGAAAAGACATGGCAAAGAGAGACAGATAGAGACATGCAGAAGAGAGAGAGAAAGAGGGAAAAGACAGAAGAGAGAGAAAGAAAGAGACATGCAAAGAGAGAAAAACAGAAAGAGACAGAAAGAGACAAAGAGAGAGAGAGAAAAAGAGAAAAAGACATGGCAAAAGAGACAGATAGAGACATGCAAAGAGAAAAAAAGACAAACAAAGAGAGACAGATAGAGACATGCAAAGGAGAGAAAGAGACAAGAAGAGAGACAGATAGAGACATGCAAGAAAAGAGAGAAAAGACAAACAAAAACAAAGAGACAGAGAGAGACATGCAAAGAGAGAAAAGAAATGGCAAAAAAAGAGACAGATAGAGACATGCAAAGAGAGAAAAGAGACATACAAAGAGAGAGACAGATAGAGACATGCAAAAGAGAGAAAAAGACATGGCAAGAGAGACAGATAGAGAGACATGCAAAAAGAGAGAAAAGATATAGAGAGAGAAAGATAGAGACATGCAAAAGAGAGAAAAGACCAAAGAGAGACAGATAGAGACATGCAAAGAGAGAGAAAAGACATGGTTAGAGAGACAGATAGAGACATGCAAAGAGAGAAAAGACATGGCTAGAGAGACAGATAGAGACATGCAAAGAGAGAGAAAAGACACAAGAGACAGATAGAGACATGCAAAGAGAGAAGAGAAAAGACATGGCAAGAGAGACAGATAGAGACATGCAAAGAGAAAGAAAAAGACATGACATGCAAAAGAGAGAAAGAGAGAGATGCAAGAGAAAGAGAGAGAGAGAAAAGACATGCAAGAGAGACAGATAGAGACATGCAAAAGAGAGAAAGACAAAGAGAGAGACAGAGAGAGACAGCAAAAGAGAGAGAAAAGACATGAAAAAGCTAGAGAGAAAGATAGAGACATGCAACGGAGAGAAAAGACATGGCTAGAGAGACAGATAGAGACACAAAGAGAGAGAAAGACAAACAGAGAGACAGATAGAGACATGCAAAGAGAGAAAAGACATGCAAAAGAGAGAGAGAGATAGAGACATGCAAAAGAGAGAGAAAAAGACATGGAAAAGAGAGACAGAAGAGAGACATGCAAAAGAGAGAGAAAAGAAAAACAAAAGAAAAGAGAGACAGAAGAGACATGCAAAGAGAGAGAAAAGACAAATAAAGAGACAGATAGAGAATGCAAAGAGAGAGAAAGACATGAAAAGAGAGACAGAGAGAGACATAGAAAGAGAGAAAAAGACATGGCAAGAGATGAAAAGAGACATGCAAAAGAGAGAAAAGACAAAGAGAAAAGCAGGAGAAGCAAAGACAGAGAAAAGCAAAAACTAGAGAGACAGAAAGACATGCAAAGAGAGAGAGAGAGAGACAAAAGAGCAAAAGAGAGAAAAAGACAAGAGAGACAAAGAGACAAACAAAGTGAGAGAAAAGACAAAGCAAAAGACAGATAGAGAAATGCAAAGAGAGAGAAAGAAAAGCAAAAGAGAGAGAAAGAGACATGCAAAAGAGAGAAAAGACAGCAAAGAGAGACAGATAGAAATGCAAAAGAGAGAAAAAGACATGGCAAAAGAGAGAAGAGAGACATGCAAAAGGGAGAGAAAAGAGAAAGAGAGAAGATAAAGAATGCAAAGAGAGAGAGACAAGCAAAGAGAGACAGATAGAGACATGCAAAGAGAGAGAAAAGAGAAAATAGAGAGACAGAAAGAGACATGCAAAAGAGAGAAAAGAGATGGCAAAGAGAGAAAGAGACATGCAAAGAGAAAAAGACATGAAAGAGAGAGAGAAAGAGACATGCAAAGAGAGAGAGCAAAAGAGAGAAAGAGACAGCAAAGAGAGAGAAAAGACATGGCTAGAGAGACAGATAGAGACATGCAAAGAGAGAGAAAAGACATGGTAAGAGACAGAAAGAGACACATGAGAGAGAGAGAAAAATGGCTAGAGAGACAGAAAGAGACAAAAAAGGGAGAAAAGACATGGCTAGAGAGACAGATAGAGACATGCAAAGAGAGAGAAAAAGACATGGATAAAGGGAGACAGAGAGAGAGATAGAGAAAAAGGAAAGAAAGAGAGAGAAAAGACAAGACATGGAGAGAGAGATAGAGAGACATGCAAAGAGAGAAAAGACAAGAGAGAGAGAGACAGCAAAAGAGATGAAAGAGAGAGAAAAGAGAGAAAGAGACAGAGACATGCAAAGAGAGAAAAGACAAAAGAGAGACAGACAGAGACAAAAAGAGAGAGAAAGACATGGAAAAAGAGAAGGAGAGACATGCAAAGAAGAGAGAGAGAAAAGACATGGCTAGAGAGAAAGATAGAGACATGCAAAGAGAGAGAAAGACAGTATAGAGAGAGAGAAGAGACATGCAAAAGAGAGAGAAGAGAAAAGATAGAGAGACAGAAGAGACATGCAAAAGAGAGAGAAAAGACAAGTGAGAGAGAGATAGAGACATGCAAAGAGAGAAGAGAGAAAAGCAAAGCAGAGAGACAGATAGAGACATGCAGAAAAGAAAGAGAGAAAAAGACAAACAAGAGAGACAGATAGAGACATGCAAAGAGAGAGAAAAGACAAAGAGAGACAGAAAGAGACAAGCAAAGCAAAGAGAGAGAAAAGACATGGCTAGAGAGACAGATAGAGACATGCAAAAAGAGAAAAGACAGAAAGAGAGAGACAGCAAATAGAGACAAGCAAAAACAAAAAGAGAGAAAGAGACAAACAAAACAGAAGAGAGACATGCAAAGAGAGAAAAACAAGCAAAAGAGAGACAAAGAGACATGCAAAAGAGAAAAGAGAGAAAGAGACAGATAAGACATGCAAAGAGAGAAAAGACATGGCTAGAGAGACAGAGAAGAGAAATGCAAAGAGAGAGAAAAGACAAAAAAAGAGAGACAGATAGAGACATGCAAAAAGAGAGAAAAAGAGAGAAAGAGACAGACAAATGCAGAGAGATGAGAGAGAGAGAAAAGACATGACAAAGAGACAGAAAGAGACATGCAAAAGAGAGAGAAAGACATGGCAGAGAGACAGAAAGAGACAAACAAAGAGAGAAAGACATGGCTAGAGAGACAGATAAAGACATGCAAAGAGAGAAAAGACAAAAAAAAGAGACAGAGAGACATGCAAAGAGAGAGAAAAGACATGGCTAGAGAGAGAGAAAGAGAGAAAGAGACAAGAAAGAGAGAGAAAAGACAAAAGAGACAGAAAGAGACATGCAAAGAGAGAAAAGACATGGCTAAGAGACAGAAGAGACATGCAAAGAGAGAAAAAAGACAAAAAGAGACAGAAAGAGACATGCAAAAAGAGAGAAAAGACATGGCTAGAGAGACAGAAAGAGACATGCAAAAGAGAGAAAAGACATGGTTAGAGAGACAGATAGAGACATGCAAAAGAGAGAAAAGACAAAAGAGAGAGAAAGAGACAAGCAAGAGAGAAAAGACATGACAAGAGAGAGAGAAGAGACATGCAAAAAGAGAGAAAAAGACAAAAAAGAGAGAAAGAGAGAGACATGCAAAGAGAGAGAAAAGAATGGCTAGAGAGACAGAAAGAGACATGCAAAGAGAGAAAAGACAATAGAGAGACAGAAGAGACATGCAAAGAGAGAAAAAAGAAAAGAGAGAAAGAGACAACAAGAGAATGACAAACAAAGAGAGAAAAGACAAGCAAAGAGAAAGAAGAAAAATGGAAAAGAGAGAAAAGAAATGCAAAAGAGAGAGAGAAAGAGACAAGCAAAAGCAAAAGACATGGCTAGAGAGAGACAAAATGCAAAGAGAGAAAGAAAAGACAGAGAGACAGAAGAGACATGCAAAGTGAGAGAAAACATGGCTAGAGAGAGAGAGAAAGACATGCAAAAAAGAGAAAAGACAAAGCTAGAGAGACAGATAGAGACATGCAAAGAGAGAAAAAGAAAGCTTAGAGAGACAGAAAGAGAAAGAGAAAAGACATGGTTAGAGAGAGAGATAGAGACATGCAAAGAGAGAGAAAAGAAAGGGCTAGAGAGACAGATAAGACAAAAAAGAGAGAAAAAGACATGGCTAGAGAGAGAGATAGAGACATGCAAAGAGAGAGAAAAGATGGCTAGAGAGACAGACAAGAGACATGCAAAGAGAGAAAACAAAGCAAAGAGAGACAGATAGAGACATGCAAAGAGAGAAAAAGACAAACAAAGAGAGACAGATAGAGACATGCAAAAGAGAGAAAAGACATGGCAAAGAGAGACAGATAGAGAAATGCAAAAGAGAGAAAAGACATGGCAAAAGAGACAGAGAGAGAAATGCAAAGAGAGCAAAAAGAGAAATGAGACAGATAGAGACAAAAGAGAGAAAAGAGACAAACAAAGAGAGAAAGAGACATGCAAAGAGAGAGAAAGAAATGGAGAGAGACAGATAGAGACATGCAAAAGAGAGAAAAAGACAAAACAAAAGAGACAGAAAGAGACAAACAAAAGAAAGAGAGAAAAGACAGACAAAGAGAGACAGATAGAGACATGCAAAGAGAAAAGAGAAAAGGGAGACAGAAAGAGACATGCAAAGAGAGAGAGAGAGAGAAAAAGACATGGCAAGAGAGAGAAAGAGACATGCAAAAGAGAGAGAAAAGACATGGCTAGAGAGAGAGAAAGAGACAGACAAACAAAGAGAAAAGACAAACAAAGAGAGACAGATAGAGACAAGCAAAAGAGAGAAAAGAGAAAACAAGAGAGAGATAGAGACAAGCAAAGAGAGAAAAACAAAATAGAGAGACAGAAAGAGACATGCAAAAGAGAGAAAAAAGACATGGCTAGAGAGACAGATAGAGACATGCAAAAGAGAGAAAAGACAAATGGCTAGAGAGACAGATAGAGACAAAAAAAAAGAGAGAGAACAAACATGGCTAAAGAGAGAAAGAGAAATGCAAAAAGAGAGAAAAGACAAACAAAAGAAAAGAGAGAAAGAGACAAAAAAAAGAGAGAAAAAGACATGGCAAAGACAGAAAGAGACAAGCAAAGAGAGAAAAGACAAGCAAAGAAAAAAGAGAGAGACATGCAAAAGCAAAAAGAGAGAAAAAGACAAGCAAAAGCAAAGAGACAGAAAAGACATGCAAAGAGAGAGAGAGAAAGAGCAAAAGACAGAAAGAGAGAGAAAGAGAAAAATCAAAAGAGAAAGAGACAAGCAAAAGAGAGAGAAAAGACAAAGAGAGAGAGAGAGAGAGACAAAGAGAAAAGACAAAAGAGAGACAGATAGAGACAAAAAGAGAGAAAAGACATGGTTAAGAGACAGAAGAGACATGCAAAGAGAGAAAAAAAGAGAGAGAGAGAAGAGACATGCAAAGAGAGAGACAAAGAGAAGATAGAGACAAAGAAACAAAAGAGAAAAAGAGACAAAAAAAAGAAAATAGAGAGAAAGAGACAAAAAGAGAGAGAAAAGACATGGCTAAAGAGAGAGAAAGAGACATGCAAAGAGAGAAAGAGAGAAAAGACATGGCTAAAGAGAAAGAGATAGAGACATGCAAAAGAGAGAAAAAGACAGACAAGAGAGACAGAAGAGACATGCAAAACAAAAGAGAAGAGAAAAGCAAAAGAGACAGATAGAGACATGCAAAGGGAGAGAAAAGAGAACAAAGAACAAGAGAGACAGATAGAGACAGAAAAGAAAGAGAGAAAGACACAAAAGAGAGACAGATAGAGACAAGCAAAAGAGAAAAGACAAAGAGAGAAGAGACATGCAAAAGAGAGAAAGAGAAAAGACAAAGAGAGAAAGAGACAAACAAAGAGAGAAAAGACAAGCAAAAGAGAAAGATAGAGACATGCAAAGAGAGAAAAGAAAGAAAGAGAGAGACAGAGAGAGCAAAAGAGAGAAAAGACATGGCAAAGAGAGAAAGAGACAAGCAAAAGAGAGAAAAGACATGGCTAGAGAGAGAGATAGAGACATGCAAAAGAGAGAAAGAAGAGAGACAGATAGAGACATGCAAAGAGAGAGAAAAGAATGGCTAGGGAGAGACAGAGAGACATGCAAAGAGAGAAAAGACATGGCAAAAGAGAGACAGATAGAGACATGCAAAGAGAGAAAGACATGCTAGAGAGACAGATAGAGACATGCAAAGAGAGAAAGAGACAGAGAGAGAGAGAAAGAGACATGCAAAAGAAAAAGAGACTAGAGAGACAGAGAGAGAGACAGAGAGAAAGAAAGACATAGGGAGAGACAGATAGAGACATGCAAAGAGAGAGAGAAAAGACATGGCAGGAGAGACAGATAGAGACAAAAAAGAGAGAAAGACATGCAGAAGAGAGAAAGAGACAAGCTAAAGCAGAAGAGAGAAAGAGACAAGCAAAGAGAGAGAGAGAGAGAGACATGCAAAGAGAGAGAAAAGACACACAAGTGAGACAAAGAGACATGGAGAGAGAGAGAGAGAGAAAAGACATGGCTAGAGGAAGAGAGAAAGAGAGAGAAAAAGAGAGAGATAGAGACATGCAGAGAGAGAGAAGAGAGAGAAAAGACATGGTTAGAGAGAGAGAAAGAGACATGCAAAGAGAGAGAAAAGACATGGCTAGAGAGAGAGATAGAGACATGAAAGAGAGAAAAGCAGCTAGAGAGACAGATAGAGACATGCAAAAGAGAGAGAAAAGACATGGCTAGAGAGACAGATAGAGAGAGAAAGAGAGAAAAGACAAGAGAGACAGATAGAGACATGCAAAGAGAGAGAAAAGACATGGCTAGAGACAGATAGAGACATGCAAATTGAGAGAAAAGACATGGCTAGAGAGACAGAGAGAGACATGCAAGAGAGAGAGAGAGAGAGAGAGAAAAGACATGCAAAGAGAGACAAGACATGCAAAGAGAGAAAAAGACAATGAAAGCAAAGAGAGAGAGAGGAGACATAAAAGAGAGAGAGAGAGAGAGAAAAAGAGAGAAAGAGGCTAGAGAGAGAGAAAGAGAAGAGACAAAAGAGAGAAAGAGACATGCAAAAGAGAGAAAGAGACATGCAAAGAGAGAAAGAGACAAGCAAAAGAGAAAGAGACAAGCAAAAGCAAAAGAGAGAAAGAGACAAGCAAAAGCAAAAGAGAGAAAGAGACAAGCAAAAGCAAAAGAGAGAAAGAGACAAGCAAAAGCAAAGAGAGAAAGAGACATGCAAAAGAGAGAAAGAGACAAGCAAAAGAGAGAAAGAGACAAGCAAAAGAGAGAAAGAGACAAGCAAAAGAGAGAAAGAGACAAGCAAAAGAGAGAAAGAGACAAGCAAAAGCAAAAGAGAGAAAGAGACAAGCAAAAGCAAAAGAGAGAAAGAGACAAGCAAAAGCAAAAGAGAGAAAGAGACAAGCAAAAGAGAGAAAGAGACAAGCAAAAGCAAAAGAGAGAAAGAGAAAGCAAAAGAGAGAAAGACAAGCAAAAGCAAAAGAGAGAAAGAGAAAAGCAAAAGAGAGAAAAGACAAAGAGAGAGAGAGAGATAGACAAATGCAAAGAGAGAAAAAGACATGGCAAAAGAGACAGAAAAGACATGCAAAGGGAGAGAAAGAGACAAGCAAGAGAGACAGAAAGAGACATGCAAAAGAGAGAAAGAGACACAAAGAGAGAAAGAGACATGCAAAGTAAAGAGAAAGAGAATGCAAAAGAAAAGAGAGAAAGACATGCAAAAGAGAAAAGACATGGTTAGAGAGACAGATAGAGACATGCAAAGTGAGAGAAGAAGAGAGAGACAGATAGACATGCAAAGAGAGAGAGAAAAGACATGGTTAGAGAGACAGACAGAGATATGCAAAGAGAGAAAAGACATGGATAGAGAGATGATAGAGACATGTAAGTGAGAGAAAAGACATGGTTAGAGAGACAGATAGAGACATGCAAAAGAGAGAAAAGACATGGCTAGAGAGACAGATAGAGAGAGAGAAAAAGACATGCTAGAGAGACAGATATAGAGACAGAAAAGAGAGAAAAGACATGGTTTGAGAGACAGATAGAGACATGCAGAGAGAAAAGACATGGCTAGAGAGACAGATAGAGACATGCAGAGAGAAGAGAGAAAAGACATGCTAGAGAGACAGATAGAGACATGAAAAAGAGAGAAAGACAGACAGAGACAGAAAGAGACATGCAGAGAGACAGAGAGACATGCAAAGAGAGAAAGACATGGCTAGAGAGACAGATAGAGACATGCAAAGAGAGAAAAAGACATGGTTAGGAGAGACAGATAGAGACATGCAAAGAGAGAGAAAAGACATGGCTAGAGAGACAGATAGAGACATGCAAAGGAGAGAAAAGACATGGTTAGAGACAGATAGAGACATGCAAAAGAGAGAGAAAAGACATGGCTAGAGAGACAGAGAGACATGCAAAGAGAGAAAAGACATGGCTAGAGAGACAGATAGAGGCATGCAAAGAGAGAGAAAAGACATGGCTAGAGAGAGAGATAGAGACATGCAGTGGGAGAAAAAGACATGTATAGAGAGACAGATAGAGACATGCAAAGTGAGAGAAAAGACATGGTTAGAGAGACAGATAGGAGACATGCAGAGAGAGAAAGAGAGAGAAAAGACATGGCTAGAGAGACAGATAGAGACATGCAAAGAGAGAGAAAAGACATGGCTAGAGAGACAGATAGAGACATGCAGAGAAAGAGAGCAAAGAGAGAGAAGACATGGTTAGAGAGACAGATAGAGACATGTAAAAGTGAGAGAAAAGACATGGCTAGAGAGACAGATAGAGACATGCAAAGAGAGAGAAAAGACATGGCTAGGGGAGAGAGAGAGACATGCAAAGAGAGAGAAAAGACAGGGAGAGACAGATAAAGACATGCAAAGAGAGAGAAAAGACAGCAATAAGAGACAGATAGAGAAAAGAGAGAGAAAGACATGGCTAGAGAGACAGATAGAGACATGCAAAGAGAGAAAAACATGGCTAGAGAGAGAGACAGATAGAGACATGTGTAAAGAGAGAAAAGACATATGGCTAGAGAGACAGATAGAGACATGCAAAAGTGAGAGAAAAGACATGGTTAGAGAGACAGATAGAGACATGCAAAGAGAAAAAGACATGGCTAGAGAGACAGATAGAGACATGCAAAGAGAGAAAAGACAAGGCTAGAGAGACAGATAGAGACAGAGAGAGAGAGAGAGAAAGACATGGCTAGAGAGACAGATAGGAGACATGCAAAGAGAGAAAGACATAGAGAGAGACAGATAGAGACATGCAAAGAGAGAAAAAGACAAGGCAGAGAGACAGATAGAGACATGCAAAGAGAGAGAAAGACATGGCTAGAGAGAGAGATAGAGACATGCAAAGAAGAGAGTATGGCTAGAGAGACAGATAGAGACATGCAAAGAGAGAAAAGACATGGCTAGAGAGACAGATAGAGACATGCAAAGAGAGAGAAAAGACATGGCTAGAGAGACAGATAGAGACATGCAAAGAGAGAAAAAGACTTATGGCTAGAGAGATGATAGAGACAATGCAAAGAGAGAGAAAGACATGGCTAGAGAGACAGATAGAGACATGCAAAAGAGAAAGACGTGGAAGAGGAGAGAGACAGATATAGACATGCAAGTGGAGAGAAAGACATATCTTGAGAGGACAGATGGGGACATGCAGAGAGAGAGAGAGAGAGAAAAGACATGGCTGGAGGGAGAGACAGGGACATGCAAAGAGAGAAAAGACATGGCTAGAGGACAGATGGGAGACATGAAAGAGAGAGAGAGAGAGAAAAGGTGTGGCTAGAGGGACGGATGGGGGACATGCAAAGGGAGAAAAGACATGTTAGCGGGACGGATGGGGACATGCAGAGGAGAGAGAGAAAGACATGCTAGAGAGACAGATAGAGACATGAAAGAGAGAAAGAAATGCAGAGAGAGAGAGAGAGAGAGAGAAAGACATGGCTAGAGAGACAGATAGAGACATGCAAAAGAGAGAAAAAGACATGGTTAGAGAGACAGATAGAGACATGCAAAGAGAGAGAAAAGACATGGCTAGGAGAGACAGATAGAGACATGGCTAGAGAAGAGAGAAAAGAGAGAAAAGCATATGGTTAGAGACAGATAGAGACATGCAAAAGAGAGAGAAAAGACATGGCTAGAGAGACAGACATAAAGAGAGAAAAGACAAAGAGAGAAAAGACATGGGCAAAGTGAGAGAAAAGACAGGGGAGAGATAGAGACATGCAGTGGAGAGAGAAAAGACATGTATAGAGAGACAGATAGAGACATGCAAAGTGAGAAAAGACATGGTTAGAGAGACAGATAGAGACATTCAAAGTGAGAGAAAAGACATGTATAGAGAGAGAGACAGATAGAGACATGTATAGAGAGAGAGAGAGTAAAGAGAGAGAAAAGACATGGCTAGAGAGACAGATAGAGAGACATGCAAAGAGAGAGAAAAGACATGGCTAGAGAGACAGATAGGGACATGCAGAGAGAGAGGAGAGAGAAAAGACATGGCTAGAGAGACAGATAGAGACATGCAAAAGAAAGAAAAAGACATGGCTAGAGAGACAGATAGATGCAAAGAGAGAGAGACATGGAGAGAGAGATAGAGCAAAGAAAGAAAGCATGGCTAGAGAGACAGAGAGACATGCAAAGAGAGAAAAGACATGGCTAAGATAGACATGCAAAGAGAGAAAGACATGGCTAGAGAGACAGATAGAGAGACATGCAAAAAGAAAACATATGGCTAGAGAGACAGATAGAGACATGCAAAGAGAGAAAAGATGAAAAGTGAGAGAGATAGAGACATGCAAAGAGAGAGAAAAGACATGGCTAGAGAGACAGATAGAGACATGCAAAAGAGAGAGAAAAGACATGGCTAGAGAGAAAGATAGAGACGGGGGAGAGAGAATGCAAAAGAGAGAGAAAAGACATGTATAGAGAGACAGATAGAGACATGCAAAGAGAGAGAGAGAAAAGACATGGTTAGAGAGACAGATAGAGATGCAAAGAGAGAAAAGCATAGAGAGACAGATAGAGACAGCAAAGGGGAGAGAACATGGCTAGAGACCAGAGAAAAGAAAAGACAGACAGAGAGAGACAGAGAGAGAGAGAAAGAGAGAGAAAAGACATGGTTAGAGAGACAGATAGAGATATGCAAAGAGAGAGAAAAAGACATGGCTAGAGAGAGAGATAGAGACATGCAGAGAGAGAGAGAGAGAGAAAGACAAGGCTAGAGAGACAGACAGATAGAGACAAAAAGAGAGAGAAAGACATGGCTAGAGAGACAGATAGAGAGGATGGCAAAGAGAGAAAAAGACATGGCTAGAGAGACAGATAAAGCATGCAAAGAGAGAAAGAGATGTATAGAGAGACAGAGAGATGCAAAGAGAGAGAAAAGACATGGCTATGAGAGACACAAAGAGATAGAAAAGACATGCAGGACAGTGAGAGAAAAGACATGGTTAGAGAGACAGATAGAGACATGCAAAGAGAGAGAAGGGACAGATAGAGACTGAAAGAGAGAGGAGAGAGAGAGACAGATACAGAGCTATGCAAAGAGAGAAAAAGACATGCTGAAGAGAGACAGATAGAGACATAGAGAGAGAGAGAGAGAGAAAAGACATGGTTAGAGAGACAGATAGAGACATGCAAAGTAGAGAAAAGACACATAGAGAGACAGATAGAGACATGCAAAGAGAGAGAAAAGACATGGTTAGAGAGACAGAGGAGACATGCAAAGTGAGAGAAAAGAAGTGAGAGGAGGAGACATGCAAAGGAGAGAAAGACTAGAGAGACAGATAGAGAGACATGCAAAAAGAGAGAGAAAAGACATGTATTAGAGAGACAGATATAGAGACATGCAAAAGAGAGAAAAGACATGGACATGCAAAGAGGAGAAAGATGTAAAGAGACAGATAGAGATATGCAAAGTGAGAAAAGACATGTATAGAGAGACAGATAGAGACATGCAGAGAGAGGGAGAGAGAAGAAAGACATGGCTAGAGAGACAGATAGAGACATGCAAAGAGAGAGAAAAGACATGGCTAGAGAGAGAGGGAGAGACAAAGAGAGAGACATGCAGAGAGAGAGAGAGAGAGAGAAAGTGAGCTAGAGACACAGATAGACAGAGACATGCAAAGTGAGAGAAAAGACATGGCTAGAGAGACAGATGGGGACATGCAAAGAGAGAGAAAGACATGGCTAGGGGAGACAGATAGAGACGGCCAAAGGTGAGAGAAAAGACATGGCTAGAGAGACAGATAGAGACATGCAAAGGAGAGAAAAGACATGGTTAGAGAGAAAGATAGAGACATGTAAAGAGAGAGAAAAGACATGGCTCAAGAGAGACAGATAGAGACATGCAAAGAAAAGAGAAAAGTCATGGCTAGAGAGACAGATAGAGACATGCAAAGAGAGAAAAAGACATGGCTAGAGAGAAAGAGGAGACATGCAAAGGGAGAGAAAAGACAGATAGAGACAGATAGAGACATGCAGAAAGAGAGAGAGAGAAAAGACATGGCTAGAGAGACAGATAGAGACATGCAAAGAGAGAAAAGACATGTTAGCGAGACAGATAGAGACAGATAGAGAGAGAAAGAGAGAAAAGACATGGCTAGAGAGACAGATAGAGACATGCAAAGTGAGAGAAAAGACATGGCTAGAGAGATGATGGAGACATGCAAAGGAGAAAAAGACATGGCTAGAGAGACAGATAGGAGACATGCAAAGTGAGAGAAAAGACATAGAGAGATGATAGAGACATGCAAAGTGAGAGAAAAGACATGGCTAGAGAGACAGATAGCATGCAAAGAGAGAGAAAAGACATGGCTAGAGAGACAGATAGACATGCAAAGAGAGAGAGAAAGACATGGCTAGAGAGACAGAGAGACATGCAAAGAGAGAAAAGATATGGCTAGAGAGACAGACAGAGACATGCAAAAGAGAGAGAAAAGACATGGCTAGAGACAGACAGAGACATGCAAAGAGAGAAAAGACATGGCTAGAGACAGATAGAGACATGCAAAAAGAGAGAGAAAAGACATGGCTAGAGAGACAGATAGAGACATGCAAGAGAGAAAGACATGTATAGAGACAGATAGAGATATTCAAAGTGAGAGAAAAGACACAAGAAGTGAGACAGATAGAGAGATGCAGAGAGAGAGAGAGAGAGAAAAGACATGGTTAGAGAGACAGATAGAGACAAAAGAGAGAAAGACATGGTTAAGAGAGGATAGGGGGACAGAGAGAGAGACAGATAGAGAATGCAAAGAGAGAAAAAGACATGTATAGAGAGACAGATGGTTAGAGAGACAAAGACAGAGAAAAGACATGCTAGAGAGACAGATAGAGACATGCAAAGAGAGAAAAGACATGGCTAGAGAGACAGATAGACATGCAAAGAGAGAAAAGACAGAGAGAAATAGAGACATGCAAAGAGAGAGAAAAGACATGATAGAGAGACAGATAGAGAATGCAAAGGGGAGAGAAAAGACATGGCTAGAGAGACAGATGCAAAGAGAGAGAGACATGGCTAAAGAGAGAGAAAGACATGCAAAGAGAGAGAGACAGGAGAGAGAGACATGCAAAGGAGAAAAGCATGGCTAGAGAGACAGAGAGACAGATGAGAGAGACATGCAAAGACATGAGAGAAAGACATGGCTAGAGAGACAGATAGAGAGACATGCAAAGAGAGAAAAGACATGGCTAGAGAGATGATAGAGACATGCAAAGAGAGAAAAGACATGAAGAAGTGAGAGAGATAGAGACATGCAAAGAGAGAAAAGACATGGCTAGAGAGACAGATAGAGACATGCAAAGAGAGAGAAAAGACATGGCTAGAGAGACAGATAGAGACATGCAAAAGAGAGAGAAAAGACATGGCTAGAGAGACAGATAGAGACAGTAAAAAGAGAGAGAAAAAGACATGGTTAGAGAGACAGATAGAGACATGAAAGAGAGAGAGAGAGAGAGACAGAAAGACATGCAAGGAGAGAAAAGACAGATAGAGACATGCAAGAGAGAGAGAAAAGACATGGCTAGAGAGAGAGATAGAGACATGCAAAGAGAGAAAAAAGACAAGGGTATGAGACAGAAAGAGACATGCAGAAGAGAGAGAAAAGAAAGACATGGCTAGAGAGACAGATAGAGACATGCAAAGAGAGAAAAGACATGGCTAGAGAGAGACAGATAGAGACATGCTAGAGAGAGAGAGAGAGAGAGAAAAAGACATGGCTAGAGAGACAGATAGAGACATGCAAAAGAAAGAGAAAAGAAAGACAGATAGAGCTGCAGAGAGAAAGAGAGAAAAGACAGATGAGAGAGACAGATAGAGAGACATGCAAAGAGAGAGAAAAGACATGGCTAGAGAGACAGATAGAGACATGCAAAGTGAGAGAAAAAGACATGGCTGGGAGAGACAGATAGAGACATGCAAAGGGAGAGAAAAGACATGGCTGGGAGAGACAGATAGAGAGACATGCAAAGAGAGAGAAAAGACATGGCTAGAGAGACAGATAGAGACATGCAAAGAGAGAAAAAGACATGGCTAGGAGACAGAAAAGACATGCAAAGAGAGAGAAAAGAGACATGCTAGAGAGACAGATAGAGACATGCAAAGAGAAGAAAAGACATGGCTAGAAAGACAGATAGAGACATGCAAAGAGAGAGAAAGACATGGCTAGAGAGACAGAAGAGACATGCAAAGAGAGAAAAGACATGGCTAGAGAGACAGATAGAGACATGCAAAAAGAGAGAGAAAAGATATGGCTAGAGAGACAGATAGAGACAAAAAGAGAGAGAAAGACATGGAGAGAGAGACAGATAGAGACATGCAAAGTGAGAGAAAAGACATGGCTAGGAGAGACAGATAGAGACACAGAGAAAGAGAGAGAGAAAAGACATGCAGAGAGACAGATAGAGACGTGCAAAAAGAGAGAAAAGACAAAGAGAGACAGATAGAGACAAAAAGAGAGAGAAAAAGACATGGTTAGAGAGACAGATAGAGACATGCAAAGAGAGAGAAAAGACATGGCTAGAGAGAGAGACAGAGACATGCAAAAGAGAAAAAGCTAGAGAGAAAAGACATGCAAAGTGAGAGAGAGACAGATAGAGAGAGACAGAGCAAAGTGAGAGAAAAGACATGGCTAGAGAGACAGATAGAGACATGCAAAGAGAGAGAAAAGACATGTATAGAGAGACAGATAGAGACATGCAAAGAGAGAGAAAAGACAAGGCTAGAGAGACAGATAGAGAGAAAAAGAGAGAGAAAAGACATGGCTAGAGAGACAGATAGAGACATGCAAAGAGAGAGAAAAGTCATGGCTAGAGAGACAGATAGAGACATGCAAAGAGAGAGAAAAGACATGGCTCGAGAGACAGATAGAGACATGCAAAGTGAGAGAAAAGACATGGCTAGCGAGACAGATAGAGACATGCAGAGAGAAAGAGAGAGAAAAGACATGGCTAGAGAGACAGATAGAGACATGCAAAGAGAGAAAAGACACATAGAGAGAAAGATAGAGACATGCAAAGAGAGAGAAAAGACATGGCTAGAGAGAAAGATAGAGACATGCAAAGTGAGAGAAAAGACATGGCTAGAGAGACAGATAGAGACATGCTAGAGAAAGAGAGAAAAAAGAAAAGACATAGAGAGAGAGATAGAGACATGCAAAGAGAGAGAAAAGACATGGCTAGAGAGAGACAGATAGAGACATGCAAAGAGAGAGAAAAGACATGGCTAGAGAGACAGATAGACATGCAAAGAGAGAGAGAAAAGACATGGCTAGAGAGACAGATAGAGACATGCAAAAAGAGAAAAGACATGGCTAGAGAGACAGATAGAGACATGCAAAGAGAGAGAAAAGACATGGTGACAGAGAGAGAGACAGAGAGAGACATGCAAAGGAGAGAAAAGACATGGCTAGAGAGACAGACAGAGACATGCAGAGAGAGAGAAAAGAAATGGCTAGAGAGACAGATAGAGACATGCAAAAAGAGAGAAAAGACATGGTTAGAGAGACAGAGAGAGAGACATGGCTAGAGAGAGAGAGAGAGAGAGAAAAGACAATAGAGAGACAGATAGAGACAGAGAAAGAGAGATGAGAAGCAAAGAGAGAAAGACATGGTTAGGGAGAGAGACAGATAGAGACATGCAAAAGAGAGAAAGACATGGCTAGAGAGACAGATAGAGACATGCAGAGAAAGAGAGAAAGAGAGAAAAAGACATGGCTAGAGAGACAGATAGAGACATGCAAAGAGAGAGAAAAAGACAGATGAGACAGATAGAGACATGCAGAGAGAGAGAGAGAGAAAAGACATGGCTAGAGAGACAGACAGAGACATGCAAAGAGAGAGAGAAAAGACATGGCTAGAGAGACAGATAGAGACATGCAAAGAGAGAAAAGACAGGCATAGAGAGACAGATAGGACATGCAAAGTGAGAGAAAAAGACATGGCTAGAGACGAGACAGATGAGAGAGACATGGCAGAGAGAGAGAGAGAGAGAGAAAAGACATGGCTAGAGAGACAGATAGAGACATGCAAAGAGAGAGAAAGACATGGTATTAGCGAGACAGATAGAGACATGCAGAGAGAGAGAGAGAGAGAGAGAAAAGACATGGCTAGAGAGAAAGATAGGAGACATGCAAAAGAGAAGAAAAGATATGGCTAGAGAGAGACAGATAGAGACATGCAAAGAGAGAGAAAAGTCATGGCTAGGAGAGACAGATAGAGACATGCAAAGAGAGAAAAGACATGGCTAGAGAGACAGATAGAGACATGCAAAGTGGAGAGAAAAGACATGGCTAGAGAGACAGATAGAGACATGCAGAGAGAGAGAGAGAAAGACATGACATCTAGAGGAGACAGATAGAGACATGCAAAGAGAGAGAAAAGACATGGCTAGGGAGACAGATAGAGACATGCAGAGAGAGAGAGAGAGAGAAAAGACATGGCTAGAGAGACAGATAGAGATATGCAAAAGAGAGAAAGAAAAGACAGATAGAGACATGCAAAGTGAGAGAGAGAGAGAGAGAGAGAGAGAAAGACATGGCTAGAGAGACAGATAGAGACACAAAGAGAGAGAAAGACATGGCTAGAGAGAGATAGAGACATGCAAAAGAGAGAAAAGACATGGCTAGAGAGACAGATAGAGACATGCAAAGAGAGAGAAAAGACATGGCTAGAGAGACAGATAGAGACATGCAAAGACACATAAGGAGAGAAAGACATGCAAAGCGAGAGAAAAGACATGGCTAGAGAGAAAGATAGAGACATGCAAAGAGAGAAAAGACATGGCTTAGAGAGACAGATAGACATGCAAAGAGAGAAAGACATGGAGAGAGACAGATAGAGACATGCAAAGAGAGAGAAAAAGACATGGCTAGAGAGACAGATAGAGACAAAAGAGAGAAAAGACATGGCTAGAGAGACAGATAGAGACATGCAAAGAGAGAGAGAGAAAAGACATGGCTAGGGAGAGACAGATAGAGACATGCAAAGAGAGAGAAAAGACATGCAGAGAGACAGATAGACAGAGAGAGAGAGAGAAGAGAGAAAAGAGAGAGAGATAGAGACATGCAAAAGAGAGAGAAAAAGACATGACATATAGAGAGAGAGATAGAGACATGCAAAGAGAGAGAAAAGACATGGTTAGAGAGAGAGAGACAGAGTGAGAGAAAAAGACAAAGAGAGAGAGAGAAAAGACATGGCTAGAGAGACAGATAGAGACATGCAAAGAGAGAGAAAGACAAGAGACAGATAGAGACATGCAAAGAGAGAAAGATAGAGACAGATAGAGACAAAAAGAGAGAAAAGACATGGTTAGAGAGACAGATAGAGACATGCAAAGTGAGAGAAAAGACATGGCTAGAGAGAGCCAGATAGAGACATGCAAAGAGAGAGAAAAGACAAGAGAGACAGATGGCACATGCAAAAAGAGAAAAAGACATGCTAGAGAGACAGATAGAGAGACATGCAAAGAGAGAACTGAGAAGACATGCAAAGAGAGGAGAAAAGGCTAGAGAGACAGATAGAGACATGCAAAGAGAGAAAAGACATGGCTAGAGAGACAGATAGAGACATGCAAAGAGAGAAAAAAGACGTGGCTAGAGAGACAGATAGAGACATGCAAAGAGAGAAAAGACATGGCTAGAGAGAAAGATAGAGACATGCAAAGAGAGAGAAAAGATGGCTAGAGAGACAGATAGAGACAGCAAAGAAAAGAAATGGCCGGGAGAGACAGATAGAGAGACATGCAAAGAGAGAGAAAGACATGGCTAGAGAGACAGATAGAGACATGCAAAGTGAGAGAAAAGACATGGCTAGAGACAGATAGAGACATGCAAAGAGAGAGAGAAAGAAAGATGGCTAGAGAGAGACATGGATAGAGACATGGAAAGAGAGAAAAGACATGGCTAGAGAGACAGATAGAGACATGCAGAGAGAGAAGAGAGAGAAAAAGACATAGAGAGACAGATAGAGACATGCAAAGAGAGAAAAGACATAGAGAGACAGATAGATGGAGAGAAAGACATGGCTAGAGAGACAGATAGAGACATGCAAAGAGAGAGAAAAGACATGGCTAGAGAGACAGATAGAGACATGCAAAGAGAGAAAAGACATGGCTAGAGACAGATAGAGACATGCAAAGAGAGAGAGAAAAGACATGGCTAGAGAGACAGATAGAGACATGCAAAGAGAGAAAAAAGCTAGAGAGAAAAGACATGCAAAGAGAGAGTCTAGAGAGACAGATAGAGACATGCATGCAGAAGATAGAGAGAGAAAAGACATGGCTAGGGAGAGACAGATAGAGACATGCAAAGAGAGAAAAGACATGGCTAGAGACAGATAGAGACATGCAAAGGAGAGAAAACATGGCTAGGAGAGACAATGCAAAGAGAGAGAAGAGACAGAGAGAGAGAAAAGACATGGCTAGAGAGACAGATAGAGACATGCAAAGAGAGAGAAAAGACATGGCTAGAGAGACAGATAGAGACATGCAAAGAGAGAAAAGATATAGAGAGACAGATAGAGACATGCAAAGAGAGAAAAGACATGGCTAGAGAGACAGATAGAGACATGCAAAGGAGAGAAAAGAGACATGGCTGCAAAGAGAGAGAGACAGATAGAGACATGCAAAGAGAGAGAAAAGACATGGCTAGAGAGACAGATAGAGACATGCAAAGAGAAAAAGAGAGAAAGAGAGACATGCAAAGGAGAGGCTAGAGAGACAGATAGAGACATGCAGAGAGAGAGAAAAGACATGGCTAGAGAGACAGATAGAGACATGCAAAGAGAGAGAAAAGACACATAGAGAGACAGATATGCAGAGAGAGAGACAGAAAGAGAGAGAAAAGACAGATGTAAAGAGAGACAGATAGAGACATGCAAAGGAGAGAAAAGACATGGCTAGAGAAGACAGATAGAGACATGTGAGAGAGAAAAGAAAAGAGAGAGAAAAGACATGCAAAGTGAGAGAGACAGATAGAGACATGCAAAGAGAGAGAAAAGACATGGCTAGAGAGACAGATAGAGACATGCAAAAGAGAGAAAAGACATGGCAAGAGAGACACAAAGAGAGAGACATAGAGAGAGAGAGAGACATGAGAGAGAAAAGACATGGCTAGAGAGAGAGATAGAGACATGCAAAGAGAGAGAAAAGACATGGCTAGAGAGAGACAGATAGAGACATGCAAAGAGAGAAAAGACATGCATAGAGAGACAGATAGAGACATGCAAAGAGAGAGAAAAGACATAGAGAGACAGATAGACATGCAAAGAGAGAAAAGACATGACATAGAGAGAGAGATAGAGACATGCAAAGAGAGAAAAAGACATGGCTAGAGAGACAGATAGAGACATGCAAAGAGAGAAAAGACATGGCTAGAGAGACAGATAGAGACATGCAAAAGAGAGAAAAAGACATGGCTAGAGAGACAGATAGAGACATGCAAAGAGAGAGAAAGACATAGAGACATGCAAAGAGAGAGACAGATAGAGACATGCAAAGAGAGAGAAAAGACATGGCTAGAGAGAGACAGATAGAGACATGCAAAGAGAGAGAAAAGACATGGATAGAGAGACAGATAGAGACATGCAAAGTGAGAGAAAAGACATGGCTACTGAGAGACAGATAGAGACATGCAAAGAGAGAGAGAAAAGACATAGAGACATGCAAAGAGAGAGAGATAGAGACATGCAGAGAGAGAGAGAGAGAAAGACATGGCTAGAGAGACAGATAGAGACATGCAAAGAGAGAGAAAAGACATGGCTAGAGAGACAGATAGAGACATGCAAAGAGAGAGAGAAAAAGACATGGCTAGAGAGACAGATAGAGACATGCAAAGAGAGAGAAAAGACATGGCTAGAGAGAGAGATGCAAAGAGAGAGACATGCAGAGAGAGACATGCAAAGAGAGAAAAGACATGGCTAGAGAGACAGATAGAGACATGCAAAGAGAGAAAAGAAATGGCTAGAGAGACAGATAGAGACATGCAAAGAGAGAGAAAAAGACATGGCTAAAGACAGATAGAGACATGCAAAAGAGAAAACATGGCTAGAGAGGAGATAGAGACATGTAAAGAGAGAGAAAAGACATGGCTAGAGAGACAGATAGAGACATGCAAAGAGAGAAAAAGACATGGCTAGGAGACAGATAGAGACATGCAAAGAGAGAAAAGACATGGCTAGAGAGACAGATAGAGACATGCAAAGAGAGAGAAAAGACATGGCTAGAGAGACAGATAGAGTGCAAAGAGAGAGACATGGCTAGAGAGACAGAAAAGAGACATGCAAAGAGAGAGAAAGACATGGCTAGAGAGACAGATAGAGACATGCAAAGAGAGAAAAAAGACATGGCTAGAGAGACAGACAGAGTCATGCAAAGAGAGAGAAAAGACATGCTAGAGAGACAGATAGAGACATGCAAAGAGAGAGAAAAGACATGGCTAGAGAGACAGATAGAGACATGCAAAGAGAGAGAAAAGACATGGCTAGAGAGAGAGATAGAGACATGCAGAGAGAGAGAGAGAGAGAAAAGACATGGCTAGAGAGACAGATAGAGACATGCAAAGAGAGAGAAAAGACATGGCTAGAGAGAGAGATAGAGACATGCAAAGAGAGAAAAAAGACATGGCTAGAGAGACAGATAAAGACATGCAAAGAGAGAGAAAAGACATGGCTAGAGAGACAGATAGAGACATGCAAAGAGAGAGAAAAGACATGGCTAGAGAGACAGAGAGACATGCAAAGAGAGAAAAAGACATGGCAGAGAGACAGAGAGAGAAAAGAAAAAGACATGGAGAGACAGATAGAGACATGCAAAGAGAGAGAAAAGACATGGCTAGAGAGACAGATAGAGACATGCAAAGAGAGAAAAGACATGGCTAGAGAGACAGAGAGAGACATGCAAAGAGAGAGAAAAAAAGACAAAAGACATAGACATGCAAAGAGAGAGACAGCTAGAGAGACAGATAGAGACATGCAAAGAGAGAGAGAAAGACATGGCTAGAGAGACAGATAGAGACATGCAAAGAGAGAGAAAAGACATGCTAGAGAGAGAGATAGAGACATGCAAAGAGAGAGAAAGACATGGCTAGAGAGAGACAGATAGAGACATGCAAAGAGAGAGAAAAGACATGGCTAGAGAGACAGATAGAGACATGCAAAAGAGAGAGAAGAGACAGATAAAGACATGCAAAGAGAGAGAGACAGATAGAGACATGCAAAGAGAGAGAAAGACATGGCTAGAGAGACAGATAGAGACATAAAGAGAGAAAAGACATGGCTAGAGAGACAGATAGAGACATGCAAAGAGAGAAAAGACATGCTGAGAGACAGATAGAGATGCAAAGAGAGAAAAAGACATGGCTAGAGAGACAGATAGAGACATGCAAAGAGAGAGAAAAGACATGGCTAGAGAGACAGATAGAGATGCAAAGAGAGAGAAAAGACATGCTAGAGAGAGAGATAGAGACATGCAAAGAGAGAGAAAAGACATGGCTAGAGAGACAGATAGAGACATGCAAAGAGAGAGAAAAGACATGGCTAGAGAGACAGATAGAGACATGCAAAGAGAGAGAAAAGACATGGCTAGAGAGACAGATAGAGACATGCAAAGAGAGAGAAAAGACATGGCTAGAGAGACAGATAGAGACATGCAAAGAGAGAAAAGACATGGCTAGAGAGACAGATAGAGACATGCAAAGAGAGAAAAAAGACATGGCTAGAGAGACAGATAGAGACATGCAAAGAGAGAGAAAAGACATGGCTAGAGAGACAGATAGAGACATGCAAAGAGAGAAAAAAGACATGAGACATGCAAAGAGAGAAAAAGATGGAGAGACAGATAGAGACATGCAAAGAGAGAGAAAAGACATGGCTAGAGAGACAGATAGAGACATGCAAGAGTGAGAGAGAAAAGACATGGCTAGAGAGACAGATAGAGACATGCAAAGAGAGAGAAAGACATGGCTAGAGAGACAGATAGAGACATGCAAAAGAGAGAGAAAAAGAAATGGCTAGAGAGACAGATAGAGACATGCAAAGAGAGAGAAAAGACATGGCTAGAGAGACAGATAGAGACATGCAAAAGAGAGAGAAAGACATGGCTAGAGAGACAGATAGAGACATGCAAAGTGAGAGAAAAGACATGGCTAGAGAGACAGATAGAGACATGCAAAGAGAGAGAAAAGACATGGCTAGAGAGACAGATAGAGACATGCAAAGAGAGAGAAAAGACATGGCTAGCGAGACAGATAGAGACATGCAGGAGAAAGAGAGAAAAGACATGGCTGAGAGACAGATAGAGACATGCAAAGAGAGAGAAAAGACATGGCTAGAGAGACAGATAGAGACAGAGAGAGACATGGCAGAGAGACAAAGTGAGAGAAAAGACATGGCTAGAGAGACAGATAGAGACATGCAAAGTGAGAGAAAAGACATGGCTAGAGAGACAGATAGAGACATGCAAAGAGAGAAAAGACATGGCTAGAGAGACAGAGAGAGAGAAACATGCAGAGACAGATAGAGACAAAAAAAAGAGAAAAGACGGCTAGAGGAGACAGATAGAGACATGCAGAGAGAGAGAGAGAGAGAGAAAAGACAGAGAGACATGCAGAGACAGATAGAGACATGGCAAGAGAGAGATGCAAAAGAGACATGGCTAGAGAGACAGATAGAGACATGCAAAGAGAGAGAAAGAGAGAGAAAAAGAGAGAGACAGATAGAGACATGCAAAGAGAGAGAAAGAAATGACATAGAGAGAGAGATAGAGACATGCAAAAAGAGAGAGAAAAGACATGGACAGATAGAGACATGCAAAGAGAGAGACATGAGAAGAGACAGATAGAGAGAAAAGACAGAGAGAAAAGACAGTAAGGAGAGAGATGAGAGACATGAAAGAGAGAGAAAAGACATGGCTAGAGAGACAGATAGAGACATGCAAAGAGAGAAAAGACATGGCTAGAGAGACAGATAGAGACATGCAAAGAGAGAAAAGACATGGCTAGAGAGACAGATAGAGACATGCAAAGTGAGAGAAAAGACATGGCTAGAGAGACAGATAGAGACATGCAGAGAGAGAGAGAGAGAGAGAAAAGACATGGCTAGAGAGACAGATAGAGACATGCAAAGAGAGAGAAAAGACATGGCTAGCGAGACAGATAGAGACATGCAGAGAGAGAGAGAGAGAGAAAAGACATGGCTAGAGAGACAGATAGAGAGAGAAAGAGAAAAGACATGCAAAGAGAGAGAAAAGACATGGCTAGAGAGACAGATAGAGACATGCTAGAGAGAGAGAGAGAGAGAGAAAAGACATGGCTAGAGAGACAGAGACATGCAAAGAGAGAAAAGAGAGATAAAGGCAAAGTGAGAGAGACAGATAGAGACAGACATGCAGAGAGAGAGAGAGAGAAAAGACAATATTAGAGAGACAGATAGAGACATGCAAAGAGAGAGAGAAAAGACATGCAGAAGAGAGAGAAAGACAGAGAGAGAGACATGCAGAGAGAGAGACAGAGAGAGAGAGAGAAGAAGACATGGCTAGAGAGACAGATAGAGACATGCAAAGAGAGAGAAAAGACATGGCTAGAGAGACAGATAGAGACAGAGAGAGAGAGAAAAGACATGGCTAGAGAGACAGATAGAGACATGCAAAGAGAGAAAAGACATGGCTAGAGAGACAGATAGAGACATGCAGAGAGAGAGAGAGAGAGAAAAGATGGCTAGAGAGACAGATAGAGAGACATGCAAAGAGAGAAAAGACATGGCTAGAGAGACAGATAGAGACATGCAAAGAGAGAGAAAAGACATGGCTAGAGAGACAGATAGAGACATGCAGAGAGAGAGAGAGAGAGAGAGAAAAGACATGGCTAGAGAGACAGATAGAGACATGCAAAGAGAGAGAGAAAGACATGGCAGAGAGAGAGAGACAGATAGAGACATGCAGACAGAGAGAGAGAGAGAGAAAAGACATGGCTTAGAGAGACAGATAGAGACATGTAAAGAGAGAGAGAAAAGACATGCAAAGAGAGAGATAGAGACATGCAGAGAGAGAGAGAGAGAGAGAAAAGACATGGCTAGAGAGACAGATAGAGACATGCAAAGAGAGAGAAAAGACATGGCTAGCGAGACAGATAGAGACATGCAGAGAGAGAGAGAGAGAGAGAAAAGACATGGCTAGAGAGACAGATAGAGACATGCAAAGAGAGAGAAAAGACATGGCGAGACAGATAGAGACATGCAGAGAGAGAGAGAGAGAGAGAGAAAAGACATGGCTAGAGAGACAGATAGAGACATGCAAAGAGAGAGAAAAGACATGGCTAGAGAGACAGATAGAGACATGCAAAGAGAGAAAAGACATGGCTAGAGAGACAGATAGAGACATGCAAAGAGAGAGAAAAGACATGGCTAGAGAGACAGATAGAGACATGCAAAGAGAGAGAAAAGACATGGCTAGAGAGACAGATAGAGACATGCAAAGAGAGAGAAAAGACATGGCTCGAGAGACAGATAGAGACATGCAAAGTGAGAGAAAAGACATGGCTAGCGAGACAGATAGAGACATGCAGAGAGAGAGAGAGAGAGAGAAAAGACATGGCTAGAGAGACAGATAGAGACATGCAAAGAGAGAGAAAAGACATGGCTAGCGAGACAGATAGAGACATGCAGAGAGAGAGAGAGAGAGAGAGATAGAAAAGACATGGCTAGAGAGACAGATAGAGACATGCAAAGAGAGAGAAAAGACATGGCTAGCGAGACAGATAGAGACATGCAGAGAGAGAGAGAGAGAGAGAGAGAGAAAAGACATGGCTAGAGAGTCAAAAAGACAAAGAAAGATGTGCAAATAGAGAGAAAGACAGATGGCAAAACAGACAGTGGGAGATACAGAGAGAATTGAGAAACAGAGAGATAGATGCAGAAACAGAGAGAAAGACGAACAGACAGATCATGAGAAAACAGAAAAGACATCTAAAAAAAACATAGATTCTAACTGAAACCATGAAAGAGATGATGAACAAGAAAGAAGAATGAAGATACAAAACAGTGAAAAGAATAAAAGAAATTAAAACAGGGACACAGAGAGACCAAAAAACTAAGAGACAATGGAGACGTTGTCTGTGGAAAGAATAAAGGAAACAGAAAAAAAAAGAATAAAGGATGTCCATCCAACCCTGAGCTACATAAGATGTTGACCGAGAATTCTTTATTCCACGATATTTTTAAAACAACCAATTGTGGATACTACAGTACTCGATTAATAATGATATCCTGGTCTTATGTTCAAAGAGATGAATGCTAATTTCTGTCTGCACTTGCTTACAATTTAGCCTCAGCAAGAAATATCTTAGAAAATATGTTTGAATTTTGTTTGCAAATGTTAAATACTGTTATTATTATTATTTAAATATATATTATGTTGGTGTTGCACATTGATGCCGTCAATCGAAATTCTGTTCTTGATGCTTGGTGGCAACAGGACTCCTCACAACTCAACAACATTCCAAAGAATCCTCACAGAAAAAATAATGGCAGTTTTCTGGAGATCTACTATCTTGTTCACAATTCCAATTGTGCTTATTATTATTGTTTTATTTCCTTTGATTTCTGGTGTGTACTCATTTTTTTCTGGGTCCTGACCAGCGACCTAAGGCATTATGGCATTATGACATTTTCCACTGAGCAATTTAAAAAAAAATCACACATATTTTACATAGATAAATCCCTTTGTAAGGTGTGAGCTGTACTCAGGGGAACAATTTTTGTATTTCTTTAAGGCATGGGCTGCCAGGAATTCTTTAAATGAGTCAATTGGAATCTTTCCAATCAATCTGAGGGTTCCAACTACAACTGGAATTGTTGATGTTTTCATGTGCCACTTTTTGGGATTTCAACTTCATTATTATTATTATTATTATTATTATTATTATTATTATTATTTCCTTTGGTTTCTGGTGTATACTCACTTCTTTCTGGGTCCCTACCAAAAACCTAAGTTCAGAAATGGCATCATGACATTTTCCACTGAGCAGTTTTAAAAAAAAAACCCACACATATTTTACATAGTAAGGTGTGAGTTCTTATGAGAACAGTTTTTTGTTTTTCTTTAAGGCATCAGCTGCCAGGAATCCCTTCAATGAGTCTATTGGAATCTTTTCCAATCAATCCAAGGAATCCAACTACAACTGGAATTGTTGATATTCTCATGTGCCACATTTTTGAGATTTCGATTTCAAAGTCCTTGTATTTTGATAGGTTTTTCAAAGATATATTGCATTCTGCACGGACTGCCATGTCAATAAGAAGGCACTTTTTTTGTTTGTGGTCCCTAATAAGGATGTCTGGGCGGTTGGCTTTGATTTTTCTGTCTGTGTGTCTTGTGATGTCCCATAAAATTCTTACAGGTCCTATCTCTGTTTATCGAGTTTGGGTGGTGTTCATACTGATTTCTTTCAGTTTCCTTCCCGTAGAAGTTGCAGATTTTCCAGTGCAGATATTGGCCCACTCTGTCATGCCAGGTTTTATATTAAGTGGGTGCCAGTTCTGCGCAACCTGATACAAAATGGGCAATTGTTTCTGGATATTTATCACAGAATCTGTATTTTGGGCTAAGACAATTTTTCAGGATGTGTCCTTGGTAATTTCTAGATTGTTAGCAAGATTATTATTATTATTATTATTTCCTTTGATTTCTGTTGCATACACATTTCCTTCCAGGTCTCAACCAGAGACCTAAGGTCAGAAATGGCTTCATGACATTTTCCACTGATTTTCTATCTTATATTTTCATAGTTTTTTTACAAATCTTCAAAGATACATTACAGTCTGCAGGCACTGCCATCTCACTAAGAAAGCAAATTCTGTTCTTGTGGTCTTTGATCATGATTATTGTTGTTGTTGTTGTTATTATTATTATTATTATTTCCTTTGTTTTCTGTTGCATGCTCATTTCCTCCCGGGTCTCCTCTATAGACTTGTGAACGGAAATGTCCTCAGTCTATTGCTGCAATATCATCATCATCATGACCACCATTATTATTATTATTGTTATTATTATTATTATCGTCATCATCATTATTATTATTATCATTATTATCATCATTATTATTATCAGACATTTTTCTTGTTTTGATTTTGAATTATTGTTTTGAGTTTTCTTCTTTTTTTTTTTCAACGACGGTGATTTCTAGTTTAGTGGCCCCAAGAATGCTGTTTGTTTGGATTTAGAAATCCCACAAGATCTTGACTCGAACGTTTTCAATCAGTTTTTCTGGGGTATTATCATCATTATCGTCATCATCATCATTATCATCATCATAAACATTGTTAGCATTATTATTGTTATCATCATTATCAGCATTATTATTGTCATCATCATTATTATCAACATTATTATTGTCATTATCATTATCAGCATTATTATTATCATCATCATTATAAGCACTATTATTGTCATCATCATTACCAAGATTATTATCATCATTATTATTATCATCATCATAATCAATATTAGCATTATTATTGTCATCATCATTATCAAGATTATTATTATTATTATTATTATTTCCTTTGATTTCTGTTGTATTCCCATTTCATTCCAGATCTCAGCCAGATACAAAAAGTCAAAAATGGCTTCATGGCATTTTCCACTCATCATTGTTTGTTAAAAAAAACCAAAAACCTAAGATCACACACAATTTTACATAGTTAAAACTTTTTGTAAAGAACAAGCTGTACATGTAAGTATAATTTTTTTGTATTTTTATCATTATTATTATCATGTTTTCAGTGCACTTGTTTGTTCGATGAATTGCCCACATGTTTCAATCAGATACCTACATTTATAAAAAAAAAAATATGACCACACACATTTTACATCAATAAAGATGTTCGTAATGTGTGAGCTATACTTGTGAGTACAATTTTTTTGTATTTCTTTTAGGCATGGGCTGCCAGGAATTCCTTAAATGAGTCAATTGGAATTTTTTCCAATCAATCTGATGGTTCCACCTACAACTGGAATTGTTGATGTTCTCATGTGCCACTTTTTGGGATTTCCACTTCATTATTATTATTATTATTATTATTATTATTATTATTATTATTTCCTTTGGTTTCTGGTGTGCACACATTTCTTTCTGGGTCCCTACCTGAAACCTAAGTTCAGAAATGGCATCATGACATTTTCCACTGAGCAGTTTTAAAAAAAAACCCACACATATTTTACATAGTAAGGTGTGAGTTCTTCTTATGAGAACAGTTTTTTGTATTTCTTTAAGGCATCAGCTGCCAGGAATCCCTTCAATGAGTCTATTGGAACCTTTTCCAATCAATCCAAGGAATCCAACTACAAGTGGAATTGTTGATATTCTCTTATGCTGTTCATAATATGTGAGCCATACTTGTGAGTACAATTTTTTTGTATTTCTTTAAGGCATGGGCTACCAGGAATCCCTTCAAGAAGTCTATTGGAACATTTTCCGATCAATTTGAGTGCTCCAACTACAACTGGAATTATTGATATTCCTCCTGTGCCACATTTTTTTAGTTTTCCACTTCAAGATTTTTGTATTTTGATAGTTTCTTTCAAGATCTTCAAAGATACATTGCAATCTGCAGGGATTGCCATGTCAATAAGAAAGCATATTCTGTTTTTGTAGTCTTGATCACAATGTCTGGGCGATTAGCTTTGATTGTTCTGTATGTGTGTATTTTAAAGTCCCATAAAATTGTCACAGGTCCTATCTCTGTAACCGGGTCTGGATGATGTTCATACCAATTTCTTGCAGTTTACTTTCTGTAAAAGTTGCATATTTTCCTGTGCAGATATCGGCCCACTCTTACCGAGTTTTATATTCATTGGGTGCTAACACTGTGCAACCTGATACAAGATGGTCAGATGTTTCTGGATATTTATCACAGAATCTGCATTTTCGTGTTAAAACAATTTTTCAATATGTGTGCTTGATAATTTCTAGTTAGCAAGCATTGATCTTGTGCAACAAAAATAAAACCTTTCATTTCAGCTTTTAACGCTTTCACCAACTTTCACCTTTTCACCTTTCAGATAGAGCCACTGTCTAACTCAATCACTCACATCTTGAACAGTTTTTATTTGTGATATATTTTAGTGACAAATATTCTTTAAGAAATACCACAATTTTACTGTTGCAAGGCAAATTATAAAATATTTCAACACAACCATAATAAAAGAAAAAATTATAACCAGTATTATGACAATATCAGAATGAATACTGTAATTCTCCATGTTTAATATGTCTTCATCCATGATATGCACACCTAAAATTTTGTTGAAAGTGCGTGAAAATGCTTCTACTCATGCATAATACGCACCCCTTATTTGGTAATCAAACCCTATAAATTGTACCCCCTTCCAATTTCATTACATCCAGCATTTCCTACTCTTATTTAAAAAGATGGTTTTAAACCTAGAATAATATTATTCTAATTTAGTTTTACGATAATTCTTATTTTATTTTACATTTGTAAGTATTGTTAGGTACATATGATTGTATTTGACATCCTTAAGGGGTCGCAATCATTGAATGTTAGTGTCAAATTGTCATATGTTTGTGGTGGGTAGTCATTTCGCAACTGAAGTCAACCTATGAAATGGTAATTTTTTAAAGATTTTTAGTAGGTGTACATAATAACCACTCCTGATTTTGCTTATTATTTTTAAGAAAATAAAATGTGTATTATACATAGGTAGTTACAGTATGTGTTTGTTATATTGATATCATTTCATTTTCTGAAACTATTTAGGAGTTATAACATCTAGGAAAATAAAATCACTGCTTTATAAAAAATGTGTAAGATGTAAACATTCTGAACTAAAATCAAACATGTTATCGACTTGAAACACATTGAGACAAACTAAATCATTCTGTTCTTTGCTTTGTTTGCTTCAAAGTCAATTAAATATGAGTTTGTCATATTGATATTGTTTC